AAGAAATTTGAATATTGTAAACCAGGATGAATCCAAAATCTCATTTCAAGAAGATGTAATAGCAATTACAAATGAGATTCTAGTTAACCAGAGGCAACAGGTAAGACTCGGCAAGGTAATCCGGTCCCTATTTGGGCTATTTTTATTGACATTGGGTTTATCAACAAGAACAATTCTTGTTAAGTGAACTCTTTTCTTGAGATTAGTTGCTTTGAAATTTCAAAAAATATTGTTCAAAATTCTAATCATTATGCATTTTCACATCGTTTAGTAAATAAAACTCGAACAAATGTAGAAACATGTAAAAGAGAATAGTTGTGCTGGAATATTGAAAAATAATCTTTGTATTGTGTACCTTTTTTTCTTTTGAATAAAAATGCTGCAAATGTATCATTTTTCTCTGCTTCTGGTTTATATATTCTAAAAGTTACAATTTTATGTGGTCTTGATCTATCTAAAGATTTTTTCTATGTAGTGATCTTTGTCAAAAGATGACAAACACCTCGTATATTTTTACCATGGTTTTAATATCATATCTGCAGCAGGCTCATATTCAGAACAATTCAGTGCAATCCTGGCGCAGTGGTTAGAGCTCTGGCTTAGAACCAAGAGGTCCAAAGTTCGACGCTGACTCCAGCCCAGAAAACGACATTGGTAAGGAAGGAACAGGGACGTGGAGGCACCTGAAAAGCAGGTACGATTTTCCAGAATAGGGGCCCGGTGAAGTACTTTTAACGAGAGACAAATAAGCGATCAAGGAAAATTATATTCATAATAAAAAAAGTTTTTTATGGGTACAAAATATTAAGTTACTCATTTGTATCAGCAAAATATTACGTTACTCATTTGAATATCTTGAATAGAACTGCAACAGAAGGGAATACAGCATCTAACATAGTCTTCAGCATAAAATTGTAAATGGTGAGGAAAGAAGGCAAAGTTTTGTTATCCTTTTCATCAGCCTCTCTATAGATCTCCACAAAATCAACCATTTCAGTAGTGAATTCATTTAAACTGATATCTATTTTGAATTCTTCAAGCACTGATTGATTTTTTCTTGTGAATTAAAGCTATAAAAATTATGACTAATATAATCTTCACTAAAACTCACTTCACTTCAATAAAAAGATGTTTATGCTTTCTAAAAATTTCCGCTATGAAGAAAATTTGTCAACAAGAACTGCAGTTGCTGAATGCATTACAGTATAAAACACTTCTGTTAGCCACTAATCTATAGCCTGAGTAAGCCGCTCATCTTATGCTTCATTGAAGTCCAGTCGTTTCTTTCTGCAATTCCTTTTCTCAACAAATGTTTGCTGTTCAAGCTGAGCTTCAGTTGCAATTTTAACAGCAGATAAAACAGCATTTTGGCCAGCACTGTCATTTTGTACTTGAAGCTTTTTCAGTAATACATTGATAAACGTTATAGTAATGGAAAAATCAAGTGTTTCTCATTGAAGAATTTTATTTAGGGGACCCAAGATAGTAAAAATTTCTTTGAAGAGATGTAAAGTCAAAATTCTTTCATATGACTGAAATCGGGATGAAAGACCTTGTGCTTCACTTCGAATATTAATTTTAAATTCCATGTCATTTGAAATTTGTTTAAGGCAATCGATTACTGCAGGGCATAGTGTCAGCAGTTGGTCTGTAGAGTTTTGTAAGGTACCGTAACGAACACTGTGGGTAGCAGTTAGTTCAAGAGACTGATTTAAATCCTCAAAAAGAGATTTACACTTCTCAAATATATTGTTTCGTTTCCTTGAGTTTCCGTATAGAAAAGTTCTGTACATCACCAGGCTTGTTTTCTGTTCCAAAAAGGTTAACAGAAACAACAGAAGATTTTGCACAAGCTTTCATAACCAAATTTGTTCCATGAGATCCACAATAAATATCAAGCATAACATAACGTAATACAATAGAAGTTTGCTCACAGAGTGTAACATCAGTGGTATCATCAGCTGATAGTGAAAAGAATACTGGATTATTTACCCCTTCTAAAATATCCTTCTTGACCATCTATGACATATTACGAGAAAGCTTGTTGTAAGTATAATGAGAAAGAAACTTAATTCTAGCACCCCTTCGAGCAAATTGTTTTTTAGTATTGCGAATGTTTGAAAGTTTTTCATTCAGCAGCTCATCATACTGACTGAGTAAATTTAACAAATTTAGAAGTTTTCCCATTCCACATTGAAAGACTTCACTTTTTTCAGAGTAATTGTAAAAGCTGGCTTTCTCATTTTCACGTAAAGAAATACTCTGCGATTTAATATCGAATAGCATCAATAACTCGTATTAGGTATTGATGTAGTTTCTCCGCTTCTACGTTTTTTGTTCAGATGTCTCATGGTTTCAATATTTAATATTTTATCAATTGTGGAGTCTGATAACACATGAACCATAGCTTCAGCAGCATTTCAATATTTTTTCTGGGTGTAATGCTATGTTATGATGCGACTTATGTTTGACCAATTATCAAACCCATCACGTTAAGAATTTGTGTCCTTTCTTGATCTAAAGCATAAATAAACAATGCAAAAAATTTTGTCTAGTGATAGGGAGTAAGTTAGCCATGACTTTTTCTGCACAACTTCAATGTCATTAACTTTAAGTGATTCAATGTAATACTTAGATAACCTCGAATGTTTTGTTGGCTGATTTGGCCATGATACAATAAATTGCTTTTTGTCAATCATCTTTGCATTTTTCAGCTCTAGAAATTTAGCTGGATCATTTTCATTAACATTTATAACGTTGTCTGGTTACTTCTAAATAATCTTTTTTGTTAAAGTTTATGCAGTCGTGGCGCAGTGGTTAGAGTTCTGGCTCAGAACCCAGAGGTTCGGGGTTCGACGTCGGCTCTAGCCCAATAAGCGACATAGGTAAGGAAAGAGGCGTGAAACTCTAGTTAAATGCTCTCCCGCGGTACTCCATGATAAGACCGTAAAGACTTCTGAGAGCACCTAAATAACCTGAAAAAAAAAATGGCGAACACCAAACAAACAAACAAATAAACAAACCGACGTTGAATAAAATGTTGTAAAATATGCCCTGATAGAAATTTATTAAGCTAAAATAAATTTTTTCTCTTTGAGGATTAGGAGCCCAGTTTCCTGAGCCAGAATCAGGGCCCAGTACAAGGACCCAGAAGTCCTTACGATCTTATCCCAGACCACTGCGAAAGAGCATTAAACTAGATTACCGTTTCCTTCATTACCAATAAAAAACAGTTTAGTAAAGCATTTACTACATTGAGTTAAATTAAAATTAGAATGATATTACGTCTTTCTAAATCTTACTATCTTCAACATGAAGTCAACATCATTTTAATCTCTCATCGAAAATATTCTCAAATATGTTGATATCAACGCAAACTTTATCACATCGTCCAAATGTATACGCAAATGATGCTTGTCACAAATTGAATTTGCCGGAAGGAGGAATGACAAAACACAATACATTAATACCAAAACAACCAAAACCAAATCAAACAATATTATCGGCATCATAAAATCTGCATCCGACATCACAACACTTCAGGTAAACATTGACATCGTTGTTATATGGTCAAACACTTGTACGAAGTTCAGAGAAACGTTCAACCCATGAATACTTAATGAAAGTCTCCGAAAGTCTCTGAAAGTCACGCCTCCTTCCTTACGTCACGGTGAGGAAGGAGGCGTGAACTTCCTGGTTAAATGCTCTTCCGCGGTGCTTTGTGACAAGACCGTTAGGTCTTCTTGGTGCACTTAAATAATATAAAAAAAAGTTAAAAAAAAGAGTCACATACTGGCAATTAAACTATCAAATTTGATCTTGGTGTTTCTATCTCAAATAGCCTGAAATTCAGAGTTCAAGTTTAAAAATCGCAAGTTAGAAAAGCTCAAAAATGCTTTCCGCAGCAGAAGCTTAACTTTGTGGCCTAATACCTGTATCATCAAATGGTCATTAAGATATTTAAGAATGTTTAAGACTGTGTCACTAGGACAACATCATCTATCAGCCATATGGAAAAAAAAACGACTACAGATACTCGAACTTATCACTCTTAAAGAACGCCGTTTACAAGGACACATATTCCACTGATTCAAAATACTCAACATCGTTTTAGTAAATTTTGTGGTTCCACCATTTTTTGCGCAGAGTTTGCGCTGCCACGACAAGTAACTCAAACATCAGTTTGTAAGAGGATGCGAGGAGAAATTTAACTATTTCTTGAACAGAGTTCATGAAATAGTTAGAGTTGTGGTCCATTGAAATTCTCTCACACAACACACCGTTAACGCTCTGACAATAGATGTATTTAAAGATCGAATTTCAGCATGGAAACTTCTGGTTTATCTCCACAAGAGTATCCGCGTTTTTTTATTTCTTGTTAATAAGCTTTAATTTTTATCATATACAAAATGCTTTTTTAAAATGTAATAAAAAACAAGAAAAGTAAAATAAAACTTTCGATACACTTTTTTGCGCATACAGTTGCCAGTATCTAGATTGGCCGAATACGTAAAACCAATTTATATAATTTAAATGGGTTTCACAATTAGATTTATTGTTATTACAGCTTATTAGTTATTGTACCCGGAAAACCTTAAGTGATAGTTTACTAACGCCTACAGACGGAGGCTTAATTAAAATCAATTAAGAAATAATAAATGCTATTTATAAAAGCACCTGGAATGCATATTTTGTATATGATAAAATTTACTGACCAATGTTTTCTTGTAATACATAAAAAGAAAAAAAAGAACAATATATTTATTAAAATAAACTTAAATAAATACTTTTTACTGTCATTGTTTTTTAATTATTTTAATTAAATTTTGCGCAGTGTAAAAAAGCTCTTATTAAGTCAATATTTCTGTTTCAAAATGTTTACCAAAAAGTTGTAAACAAGCTCGTTTATGAAAGTGAAAGTAATTATAAATTCCATCTTTTTTTAAACAAATTCATTTTCTAGAGCTTTATAAAAATCTCCAACCCTAGCTGTTTTTATATCATAAAGTAAAATTCCAGAAGACCTAATATTTAAAACAACAATTATTTAAATATTAAAAAGTGCTTATCAAATTTATTTTATGTGCGTGCTCCACCCTCTATCTTCCCACTAGGGGTAAATCTATTTGTTTTTAACTTTTTATTATAGTAGAACAGTTATTCGATTCTTTTTTAAAGTGTAAATTTAAATAAAAAAGATTATTTTTTCTTGCATTTAAAATAAAATTTATTTCTTGCATTTAAAATTAAAAAATATAGTATTTAAAAAGTTTGACAGTTTGTTTATTTTTAGTCGTTATTTTAAATTTAATCTAATTTTTTTTTTTTAAGTGGAAAATAGTTTTTGTTATTAAGTGCAACTGTATGTTATTTATATATATTTTTTCAATACTTTTATTCTATTTTACATTTATCTTGTAGTTAAATAATGCTTTCTAGTCATTGTTTTATTGCAAAAAGATATTTTTCAAAAAAGTACTTTGATATGGCTGCTTTGAGAATCGCTGTTATAGGACAATCAAACTTTGGTGCTGATGTGTATAAGTTGCTTCGTCAAAAAGGACACGAAATAGTTGGAGTTTTTACTATTCCTGACAATAATGTAAGTGTCAAATTTTAACTTTAAAAGAATAATCATTGTAAGTTTGTTAATTTTTTGTATACTTGTAGAGTTCTTGAATACATATGCATTTTATATACATAAAAAAATATTTTGGAACAAATAAAACTCTCTGTCTTAGTCTGTCCGCTTGACAGGATTTATCCAAAACAGCTTACTGTTTTGGATAAATAAACATTCCTATTTAAAAAAACTGCAGTTCTTTATTTTTATATTTTAATCATATTTGATTATTATTATTTTTTGATAAGTTGCTAGAAATTAGAAACTTTTGTTCACTATTATTTAGAAATTTAATTAGGATAAGTTTGAGCTCTAACAAAAAATGCTTCAGCAAATATAAAATGCAACAAAATATCAAAATATAATAAATAGATGCAGTAACAAACTGCATTTTCAGAGGAGTTGATTTTCAATTAAAACTCTAAAATATAAAAATAAATTTTTAATTTTTCTTTAGAACTTCTTTTTTTTTAAAGTTGAGCACTGGTTCACAAATGACAAGACTTTATGCACTGCCTAAGATAATCAAACTAAAAAACTATTAACCATGTCATAATTTGTAGTAAAAAGTTTATTTTACCATGTTTTTGTCTGTAATCATTTCTCTGTAATATCTTTAGTTTTAATTTTTCTTTTTTTTGCATTGAAGTAATTTAGTAATGAGTTAGTGTCTACAAAAAGTTTATATAATAGTTATTTTTTTCTAATGTTTCTAAAGAGGTTAAGTTGGACATGTTCATAGACAAAAAATTTCAAATTTGAGGTTTTGCTGTTTGCATTTCTAGGAGTTTTGATAGATTTGTAGGAGGTTTGGTTAATATAACTGTTATATTATAGATTATTAATCGGTTGATTATAGTGAGGATTACAAGTTGCCTAGTGGGAACACAACAGGTATGAGAGGCCATCTTAGGGCAAAGCTTTGATCAAGCAAGATCAACTTTGAAACACTAGAAGCAAGTGAGGTGAGAGCAAAAGCAAGATCAACAGCTAAATTGTTAATGCCAACTCAGACTCTGATAATTACTTTATAGTTGGGCCTTCTTCTGCTGCTCAGCCATCAAGAGCAAATGCCCAATTAAGAAACACCAACAAACTTAGTATTTATCAAAAGTCAATGGTCTAGGAATGATGATAAACAAAAGGAAGTTGCTTTTGTTGAAAATTTCATGACATTCCATGACTGATCACTACATTGGTTTATATATATATATATATATATATATATATATATAATATATATATATATATATATATATATATATATATATGTATATATATATATATATATGTATGTATATACATATATTTATATATATATATATACATATATATATATATATATATATATATATATATATATATATATATATATATATATATATAGTATGTATGTATATACATATATTTATATATATATATATATATATATATATATATATATATATATATATATATATATATATATTTATATAAATATATATATATAAAGTATTTTTGTAAATTTTTATTTTAACAGGGTAAGAAGGATCCTCTAGCTCAAGTTGCTGAACATGATGGTGTTAAAGTATTTAAGTATGCACGATGGCAACTTCAAAAAATTGCTATACCTGAAATTGTTGAAGAATATCAGAGCTTGAAAGCTGAAATTAATGTGATGCCTTTTTGTTCACAATTTATTCCAGCTGAAGTGGTTGATTTTCCAAAGCATGGGTCTATTATTTATCATCCTTCACTGTTACCTCGTCATAGAGGTGCTTCTGCTGTAAATTGGTAAATTTAAAAATTTTTCAGTTTTAGATTAGTTTTATATAATTTAACAAATTGCTTATATTTTTATCTTAATATTACATCAAATAGTTTTCACTGATAAAAGTACTGTTACTTATTCTGTGAGTCAGTTTTTGTCTCTTTACATCAGTTGTTTACCTACTGATAGTTGTTGCTTAATCTGTGAATCAGTTGAATGCATTCTCAGGCTATGAAGAAAAACGTTTTTTTTTTTTCTTTTTAATAATCATTAAAAACACAATTAAGCTTATAACTGTTTTATTAACAAATCTTTGTAGTATAATTCTTGCAAAACCACCTTGTAAAACAATTATAAACATTTTTTTTTTAATTTTTAACATTAAAACTTTACTTTTTGTTTAGATAAAAAAATTTAAACAATAATTAAAATTTTTTTAGAAGTTAAAAATTAATTATAATATGTAGTCTTTGATCAGGCTTGGCATGATTGTGAAATCAAAAAAAAAACATTTTAAATCATTTCCTATAAATTTGTTTTGTTTTACTATGTTCTGGTTAAGGATCTAACAAAAAATTAAGATTCCACTGCTTCAAAAGATTTAAGTTTCAAACCATCTTATAGTTAAGTTCTTATATTTTTCAGATCAGTAGAACTGTGTTCTTTAATTAATTGTTTTTGTCTCCTCAACAAACCAAAAAATGTTACTAAAGTTTCACTGTTTATTCAACTTTTTTTATTGTATTTTTTTTTTTGTATCCATAGTCTTATTATTTTTTAGGAGATTAAAAAATTGAAAATTTATTTTAGGACATTAATGTCAGGAGATAAAAAAGGTGGTTTTACAATATTCTATGCAGATGATGGATTAGATACTGGACCTATTTTGCTTCAAAAAGAAACTAATATTGCACCAAATGAAACTGTTGATACATTGTATAATCGATTTTTATACCCAGAAGGTATCAAAGGAATGGTATGAAATATTTGATATTAAAAATTGTTAGGATATATTTATTACATATTCCTTATTCAATAGTATTAGTAAAGGTTAATGGTGTAATAATATAAAGGTTAATGATGTAATAATATAAAGATATATAAATAAGCATTCAGTTTTTAAAAAAATTTTATTTGCATAAAAATTACTTAGTGTTTTATCTACATATTGTTACTAAGTATTTTATTTACATATTATTACCAAGCATTTTATCTACATATTATTGGAGCTTAGGTTCTATCTAACATTATTAATGTCTTTCTTATTTCTTTAATCTTTTTAATTCTAATTGGTATAATATTAAAAATGCTTATATTAATATTTATTTATATGGTATTTATACTTGTATGACTTTTTTTTTGTTATTTGTGCATTGTTTATTAAGTATTTTTAAAATAACATTAGTTTTTTAAAATAATTATAAATTCAATTTCCATCAGCATCATCAACAAACTTTCTCTATTTATTAGTGAAGTAATCTTATATAAACATAATATTGGCGTTTGAAACATGATTTCATTCTAGCAAACATTTTGACTTACTTGGCTGCTACTATTTGTAGAAAAGTAATGACATCAGATAAGATGGTTCAAAAGTTATCAAAAAGATTTTGATTTTAAATATCTAATTTTGGTTATTTATTTTCAAATCATTTTATTCATTTCAATTTCATCATCATATTTTCAACATTGAACACAGATGTAAAACAAAGTTGCAAATGTGCGTGCATATATATATATATATGTATATATATATATATATATATATATATATATATATATATATATATATATATATATATATATATATATATATACACACACATACCCAGACATATATATAAAAACAATGAAAATCAATGAAATAAAAATGATAAAATTAAAAAAAAAACATAATAGTTAAGTAAAAAGTGAAATAATTTATGATCAATAGATCATAATAAATCATTAATGATCAATAAGAAAATTATACAAGAAGTTTTTTTTAATTTATTGTTTTATTTATTTAAAGTAATAAAAATTTGTTGAACATAGCAATAAAATGTTCTCAATCTTATTTTTTAATGTTTTTATTCAGTTTATGCTAAAAGTTGAAGGAGTTGATTTTTAGCTTAAACATAAATCTGTTGAATTAAATTATTTCAACTTTAGATCAGTTATAAAATGCCAGTAATCCATTGGTTATAAAAAAATTCTTTCAAAAATTTAAAATTTTTTAAATTATTTTTTTATATAAAAAAGTTTGAACCTAATAAAATTCCTTACTCTTAAAAATATGCAAAAGTGTTATCATACCCACTATCTTTATTTTGATAAATTATGATCACAGTGTGACCACTCCCAATTCCAAATTGCTTATATTATATGGATTGAATAGATGGACAGGTAATATTGCCAATCAAACAAGAGTTTTTTGATAAATTCTATGTTTTTAACAAATGTTTTATAATCAATTAAAACTGTAAAACTCAGATCCTTGCATAAAACTTAAATGATGATGTCATAATAAATGGACATCTGTAGGGGCTTCACGCTTTATTATTTTCCTGGGTCTGACTTGGGTTTTTGTTTTTTGTATACTTTTCTTTAGTACAGATCTGCATTTTTAAGAAAAAGAAGAATAAAAAAAACTTCATTTTTTTGGTCATAATATTTCAACAATGATATTATCTGTCATGTCATCACAGCTTTATCTTTTTTTTAAAACAGGAGCTGATTAGGATTTAAAAAAAAACTTAATAATAATTATAAAACTTAAAATAATAATTATTTTTGTGTGAGTTTTAAGTTTATCATTTATGATTGTTTGTTAACAAAAATGTAAAATTGATAATAATTTAAAACTACAAGTTTTTAGTTCACTAAGTTCTTTGTGTTCTCTTATATTTAAAAATGTTTCGAAGTGACATGAAAAAAATATCTTTATGCTCATAAAAGTACAATGGCAGTTACAAGAAACAGTTGATTTTATTAATGCAGTTGTTGCATTCAATATATGCAGTTAAAATAATTGAGTTGCACAACTATTTTCTGTCCATAATTGGTGCCAAATAATTAGTTAAGTCTAGTTTGCATTAGTTGTTGTAAATAAAAACCATAAAAAGCTGTTCTAAGTAAAGTCTCATCAATCTCATTTAATCTGAGTAAATGTTGTTGTTTAAGTGACATTGTTAGTAATATATTTTATATTTAATTGAATAAAAACATCGTGTTCGGTTATATGTTATTTTTATTATTAAGTGGTGATATTTTGGCTTATGTAGTATAAGCTATTATCAAAATGAAAAAACATTATACAAAATTTGTAAAAACTAAAAACAAAAATGATGTCATTGCAACGTTGCAGATTTAGACTTGTTAAGTTTAACAAGAAGTGGTCCCCAATGGCGTGTCATCACTAAGTTACCATTGTTAGGATTTAAGATATTTTCCTGTGATTTAGAGCACTGTAAGTGTTGTATTTCAATTGCTTCTCGAATCTTACGCATATTGTTATTAGGAGTAATAGAAATAATTTTTGGTTTATTTGCTGGTTTATCGAATTTTGATTTGCAAATCTATTTGCTGGTTTATTGAATTTTTATGTGGTAGTTTATAATTTTTGGCGATATCTGAAAATTGTTTGTATGAATGTTCATTTTGGGAAAACACATTAACAAGAAACTCAACTTCATTCTGCAAAATTTTTCTGAACATATTTTATATGCTTAGATAATGCAACAACTTAAAGATGTGTACTAAATTGTCATTAGTAGATATTACAAGCTTATTGAACTTTGTGTAAGTAAGTGTTATTTTTTATGGGATGACAAAATACATATCTTAAAAAACTCTGGTCCGATTGGTTTGTCCATTATGTTTATTATGTTCGAAGTTTATCTATAATTTATTGAATTTAATGCTATCCAACAAGCTTTAAGCTATTTGTCAGCCGATTTAGGTTAGACTATTTGTAGCAGCACTCTGTTGTGAGTCAGGCTATAAGATAGTCAATGTAGCAACACTCTGCACATGTTTTACAGTTAAAAAATAAAAATAAAAAGATTGTTTTTTTAAAAAAAAAATACATTCTGAATGTTTTTTTGTTTTTTTTTTAAAAAAAAACAAAAACATTCAGAATCTTTTTAAAAACATTCTAGTCTTTTAATTTGCGTATTTTGTGGTTTTTTAAATTTAATTACTTCCTGCATTAAAATTAATGCATTTTGACATAATCTAACCTTAATTTTGACATCTTTAATACCACAAACAAGAGATGAGCCATTTTTTACCCCAAACATGTTTTCTTAGCCATAAACTATAGGAATATATATATATATATATATATATATATATATATATATATATATATATATATATATATATATATATATATATATATATGTATATATATATATATATATATATATATATATATATATATATATATATATATATATATATATATATATATATATATATATATATATATATATATATATATATATATATATATATATATATATATATATATATATACTCTTGCATGGTAGTTAAAAAGAGTTTCCCATAAACTGTAGTTTTAAAGAGCGCGTTAATAAAGCAGACCAGAAAAAGTTTAAAAAGTTAAATTTTTTTTTTTTTTAAAATGATAGACTGCCTGCCCAAACCAAACCCTCAGTCGATGTAGCAGCACTCCCTTGCGAGTCAGGCTATTTGTCAGTCGTTGTAGCAGCACTCCCTTGCGAGTCAGGCTATTTGTCAGTTGATGTAGCAGCACTCCGTTGCGAGTCAGGCTATTTGTCAGTCGATGTAGCAGCACTCTGTTGCGAGTCAGGCTATTTGTCAGTCGATGTAGCAGCACTCCGTTGCGAGTCAGGCTATAAGATAGTTGATGTAGCAACATTTACGCATGTTTTAAAAATGTTTTTTAATAAAACAAAAACAAAAACACCACTAATAAAATAAAACTTTCTAGTCGTTATAATTGTGGTTTTTTAAAAAATTTTTAAAAAACAATAAAATTTAATGTACTTCCGCATTAATTTAATTGCTTTGACATTTCGACGACAATCAAATACAGCTTAAGAGACGAGGTAATTAAAATTGTAGTCGAAAGAGACTTTTTTTACATTAAAACGCTCTTTCGACTACACTATAAGGAGATATATATATATATATATATATATATATATATATATATATATATATATATATATATATATATATATATATATACATATATATATATATATATATATATATATATATATATATATATATATATATATATATAAATATATATATATATATATATATATATATATATATATATATATATATATATATATATATATATATATATATATATATATATATATATATATATATGTATATATATATATATATATATATTTATATATATATATATATATATATATATATATATATATATATATATATATATATATATATATATATATATATATATATATATATATATATATATATATATATATTAGGGTTATGCAAAATTTTTAAGTTCAAAACTTTGGTTGTTCTCAAGCTTGCCCTTGTTCTATATGGCAATAATAATTATTGGTCAAAATTTGAAGCAAATTGGGTAATATTTAGAGGTTGCCGTGTTTAAAAAAATTCAAAAAAATTCAACTTATTACTTTATATTTATTTTTTATTTAGTTAATATCATGTGGACTGTCAATGTTTGTTTTAAAACAATGCTGCTTTATAAATATTTATTACAGTATTTTTTTTGTGTACATACTACTACTATGCACTAGGCAATCAAAAATCAATTATCTACCCTCATTAGTCATCTTTATCAGCGCTGACTTTGATGCAACTAGAAATTCCTTCTGATGAAGTTCAACCAATCAAAAAAGAAATTGCTTTTGGTTTACATTGTAATGCTCAAGTTAAAGGTTGTTATAAGTGCTATGTCTTGTTCTGCACAATCGTTGATGACCTTTATTTGACCAACCTTGTGCTTCATTTCAAAATATGTTCAATCCATTTCCCACTCTGAAGATTCTTTCATTAAGAATATTTAGCTTTTTCTTTGCCATTCTTCAAAATTAAATCGAAATGTTCTGCAGTGCATTGTGTGATGAAAGAAGAAAATGTATTATGACAATCAAATGACAATCAGCATCAGGTCTTTTGAGAGATTTTTACCTTGGCAGCTGTTTTAGGTTGTTTGCCATGCCTTTTATGGTTTTGTTGTCAACACAGGAATCAAAGAATGCCAATCCTACTAAATGTTCAGAAAAATACCAGAGGTAACAATGAAAAACTTTTGCTGCAGACCATAGTAGTTTGCATTTTCAATTTTTATTACCATTTTTTCAATTTTGTTCATCTCTTTTGGTGTGCTGCCATACACTGAGCAAGTCTCAACTGATAATTCTAATGCCACTTTACTATCTACCATGGTTATTTTATTGATATTTTATTTTATTGCACATTTAAATAATGAAATAAAACTTTTATGTTATGCCAATTATATTATTCATTTATTACATCTTAAAATGGTATAAGCATCCATACCTGTAGCTAAGTATTACCTTTTAAATGTTAAAATGCAATGAAATAGCAATCAATACTGCTGTTTTGCAAAAATAAATTTATAAATTTGGTATCCTTAGCAACCAATTAAAATTATAACTTCCATAAGAAGTGTTAATCTCAATTTAATACACGTATTTAATATAGTGTACATAACACGAATAAAAAACTATTTAAATACCATTAATGAAAAAATAAGTTGTTGCTAAGTAAAATTTGGTACCATTTAGCAACCAAGATTGTACTCAATGTGTAGCTTGAGTACAATCTTGGTTTGAGATTTAGCAACCAAGTTGTACTCAATGTGTAGCTTGAGTACGACTGTCTACGTCCATAAAACCAAGTGTTTTGACTTCCTTACATGTTAAAGAACATTTTATGACTATTCATTTGCTACCCTAACCCTCCCCAAAAAAGATGCATTTAATTTGGCACATTTAAGTAATAAAGTTAAACTTTTGTGTTATACCTATTCTAATATTCTTTAATTAAACCTTAAAATAACATTAGCATCCATAACTCTGGCTAAGTATTACCTTTTAAATTTTAATAAAATAGCAATCAATACTGTTGTAATGCAAAAATGATTTAATAAAACTGTGTAAAAATGTAAACAAAATTATAAAAATATTGTCAACTTTTCACCAAATTATCATAAACCCATTCTAGAAAGATAATTAAGATCTATTTAACAAAAAATTTAATAAAATAACTCCAGAACTTTAATTAGATATATTTTTAGAATATTGTATATGATTTTTAGACAGATTGGATCATATCAAAATTTTGACTTTTGTCCATAGCTGGCCTACTTTGTTTTCTTCGAAATGTGCTGTATAACAATGGTAAATCTTTTACTGAGTGATCAATAGTCTGAGCCACTGTTCCAAACACGAAGAGCGCACAGCGATCAGAAATTTTAACCTGATCAAGAGATGATACAACATTATCTGATTGAACTTTTATCTTCTTTTTTGTTGAATCACTTGTGCTGGAAGTGGATGGAATCTGATATTCATCATCCGAGGGACTAGTGCTACTTGCACTCACTCAACTGTTGTCAACTGCTGATGAAGAAGGAACAAGTTAAGTTTTCTCCATAAATTTGGTTTTACTGCTTTGACGCCTCATTTTCATTTTAGTTTCTCGAAATCATTTCCTTGCTTTCCTAGCTGTTAAATTATAATCAATTCCTGCCATACTGCAACTTAAAGTACCTTTTTGCTGCTAGTGTAAAAATGCTTTATCTTCATTGTTTTTTATAACTTCTGATGCATTTTTGGTTGATATATCAAAAAGTTTTTTAAGGTGAGCCTGAAAAATTCCTTCTTTCACTTGACAGCTGTCCAATTTTGATCTTCTGCATTTTTTCATCAGCATATAATTGTTATATTATCTTTTTAACTTTCTTTCTGCATTATTAATTCTTTGAGTTGAATTCTTCCTCTCTCCCATATAACAAGAACTGCTTTAATTGTTGCCCAAATACTTTTTTTCATTTCTTGTTCTTCGAAGAACATCAACTTTTGAAGGAAGTCTGCCAGGCAACAGAATTTGTGTAGATTTACCAACAAGCCACACCTCAGCAGAAGATCAAGGGGTTGCCATATTATTAATTTCTAAATTGAACAGAAAGCAACATGTTAACAATAAAGCATTATACAGAATGTAAAAAATTTACAGAGGATTAAATGGTATTAAACAATATTATAGATATTATTCACTAAACAAGCCGATAGCTTGTTTAGTGAATAATATCTATAATATATAATATATATTGTAAAATGTAGATTATGCCTACTAGTTTAGCTTACTACTTAATTTATATTTTCTGAAATTTCTACATATATAGAAATTTCAGATAATTTTATATACATACATATATATATATATATATATATATATATATATATATATATATATATATATATATATATATATATATATATATATACATATATATATATATATATTTATATATATATATATATATATATATATATATATATATATATGTATATATATATATATATATATATATATATATATATATATATATATATATATATATGTGTGTGTGTGTGTCTGTGTGTGTGTGTATGTGTGTGTGTGTGTGTATGTGTGTGTGTGTGTGTGTGTATGTATATATATATATATATATATATATATATATTATATATATATATATATATATATATATATATATATATATATATATATATATATATATATATATATATAAGGGTGATTTTTTTAAATAAAAAATTTAAATTTAACGAGACTTAAAAAATAAGTATTTTTATATTTAGGTAGAAGCGGTAGAACTTATTGCCAATGGATGTGCTCCAAAAATTAGTCAACCTACTGAGGGAGCAAGTTATGATAAGATATGGAACAAAAAAAGCTTAGCTCAGGTTTTTTTCACATTTCATTATTTCTTTAAAATTTTTATTTTCAGAAAATGTTTAAGAATTAATGTACCTGATGTTTGCCAATAGCATGAAACTAATACTAGTCAAATCATGTAGTTGCATTTTTAATACATATATATTATAGCTCTGATTTTGTTCATCTAGCACTTTTTTTAAAATTACGTGCAAAACAATATCAATACACAAACATACACACATAAGGTGGTATTAGCATTGGTTGTAAAATTAAAAGGTTGAAAAAAATAGACATCATGCTAGTAAAATAACATGATTGGCTTGTAGTAGCAGTTGTACATATGTTAGAAACATTCAGATTGCTGTAAATATCTAATTTAGGTTGTAGTAGCCATTTGATAACTAGCATTTAGAAATGGTGGCTCGAAAAATCACAGAGGTGGCTAGTAATATTCATGTCCTATGTATAAACAACAGGGTTTAGGTTAATGAGATTAATATCAGTAATTTCTACTGCCAGAAAATCTGCTTTATGAAAAATTAAAATCATTAATGCAAGTTATTAAATTAATTTGTATAATATAAGTCTAATATATAAATTTGTATAATATAAAATTAATTTGTACAATATAAAATAAGTCCGTAAAATGTAATTGTACTTGTGGCCATAACCTAAAGTATTCTAAAGAATTTTCTGTACATAATTATAGAGAAAATATTTTACTAAATCGAGCTGCAAATTATTGGAATGCACTGCCAGAAAATGTTGTTAAAGCTAATTCAGTCCACTTATTTAAAGCAAGACTTGATCGATGGGATTCAAACCATCACAAGACTCAACTGTCATAGTGTGCTTTAAAACCACACTCACTGGTAGATACCAGTCACAGCATAAACTAATACTAATACTAATATTGTTGTATCCTACTTAGACTATCAAATGTAGTCTAAGTAGGATACAACAATATTAGTATTAGTATAACTCAAAATATATATGAAAGATATATGGTATATGGAACATAAATGTATTTAGGATAAAAAATTACATTATTTTTATAAAAATTTCATAAAAAATAATTAAATTCATAATTAGTTATTATTTCCTACTATGTTCTGTTTTTTAGCAAATATGCCACCTATGGGGAACATAGGTGGCATATTTGCTAAAAAAATTACCAGATCTAAGAAAAGGGATGTAGGTGTTACTAAATACAATATAATATGTAACTGTAAAGTTACATCAAAGTTTATTTTAAGTCCTATTCACTTAGATAACTTTTGTTATTTTAACAAAATGCTATTGGTGGCATTTTGTCACATGATCAAAGCCAATAACTACTTTGTTGTTCCCTCACTCATAACAAAGTCTAAAACTATTTTGCCTCATATATCTCCAGTTGAATACACTGTCACTATCCAGTTTAACACACTGTCACTATAGAAAAAAAGTTTCCATGCTTGCAAGAGAAATAACAAAACTAGTAGTATTATTGAGATAATACTAATAATGTTATTAAGAAAACTCAGCAAATATTATTAGTAATAGTATTTTTTATTGCTGAGTATTTTCCCCCAAAAACTTCACTATAAAACACACAATATTTTTGTAGTTTCTATATTGCTAGTAGTTAACTTGATGTTTTTTTTTGATCTTTTATAGTTATTTAGTTAGTTATTAAAATAGTTAAAAAAAAAATTTTTTTATTCATTAACTAGTTTAAGTCCAGCTCTCTTTAGTTAAAAAAATTACTAAAAAAGATTGTGTTTGCAAGCATATTTGAGATAATATAGTTGTAATAGGTATATTTAGATGTCTTAAAAACAATCAATCCCATTCCAAAAATGATTAGAGAAAATGTTTCAATACTTATTAATAGTAAAAAAGTAGAAAACTAATAGTATTTGAAAACCCCATTATAAAGTAATATTGAAGTCATCATATCGAAGGAACATTATTAATGATATCATGAAAAAAATTAGTTTTTCCAAGACTAGTAGTTATCAATAAATTTATTGAAAAATGTTGGTCAAAACAAAAAGAGTAATGATATTAGAATATATCTGGTTTTTATCTGGTTTCTGGACAAAATAATAAAGACTATTGAGTTAAAAACATTCTAAGGATTGTTTTCATTTAGTGAAGTTTTGTTTAGCCAATTTTTATTAAGCTAAAATTACCATTAGTAAAACCATGAAGCCAGTTACATATTTAGTATGCTTTTGTTTGAAAAGACAAAGAAATTTTAAAGAGTTGTTTATTCTTTTTCGTCTTCTAAATTTTAGATTAATTGGAATCAACCAGCAAATGTATTGCACAATTTTATTCGTGGAAATGACAAGGTTTGCTTCATAAATTAAATATAGATAAATAGTAACAAAAATAAATAGTGTTTTTCTTTTTTTTAATTTTTTATTATATTTATTGAAATCCATATTTCATTGTTTAAATAATTTTTAAAGGTATCATATATATATACATATATATATATATATATATATATATATATATATATATATATATATATATATATATATATATATATATATATATATATATATATATATATATATATATATATATACATATATATATATATATATACACACTTACTAAAGCGTGTTTTGATAAGCATTTGCTCACTTTTTTTGCTAACCTTAAGCTATACCGTTTTTTTAAAAAAGAAGAAGAAAAAACAAAGAATGATGAATAAAACGATTGCTTCCCCATCCCAAACCCTCAGTCGATGTAGCAGCACTCCACTGCAAGTCAGGCTATTTGTCAGTCGATGTATGTACTGAAGCCCCCAGCAGCAGGCTATTTCAGTATGACGTCAGATTGCTTACCTTAGTACGCAGTAGTATTTGTATATATATATATATATATATATATATATATATATATATATATATATATATATATATATATATATATATATATATATGTATATATATATAAAATGACCTACATACAAATGAAACAGATTTTCCCATGGCCTGTTTGATGCTTCAGTTTTAAGTCTTGCCAAATATTTGGCAAAATCACTATTTGTGGCATCTCCAAAAAATATCAATTAAAATATGAAAATATATTTAAGCAAATAGTATAATAATTTTTTACATAATAATATAATGAATTTTTTTTTTAGCTTCCTGGAGCGTGGTCTACAATTGATGGAAAGGTATTATCTAAAGTTTTTTATCATTTTACCTAATATATAAAAAATTTCTCTTTTTTATTTTTTTTATTTTTTTTTATTTTTATAAAATTCATAGTGATAGTCAAAAAAGATATAAATAAAATTGAAATTGAAATTGAGAATACATATATAAAAAATAATAATAATAAAATTTAATAGTGTAATATAAATACTTAGGGAGAATTGATACTGAAATAACCTTTTTTTTTATTTTTTGTAAAAAGTGCTGTTACTTCCAAACTATATTTAAAACTAAACATATACTCTAATATAATGCTCATCTAACTGTATGTTCATGTAAATTTATTCTAAATTATATATTTTTTTTTTATCTTTTTTTTAATGCACCTCACCTCACCTTTAATTTTTGTAATGTTTGTTTCAGTAATTTGTGGTTTCTGAAATAACCAGTGGTTGTAATGAAATAACCACTGGTTATTTCAATATTGTATTGGCTAAATTAACTCAAAACTGGTAAAAAAAAAAATTAAACATAATTAACTTAAGATGTAATTCCTGTTTTTTCATTATTTACAATACCGCAAATCAATTAGAATCAATGTCAGTTTCATCTTCTGTGAAATCATAACATTTGCAAAAAGTTTTATCTTTTGATTTCACTCAAATCTAACTTTGATAAAAATGCAATAAAAACAGACAAATTTGAGCGACTTGATTTTGTCTGTTTTCATTGTGTTATTTATGCTTTTGATACTTTTTTGTTTTCTGACTTTCTTAATTATTATTTTTCTTTCTTTAATTTTTTGCTTATTAGCTTTGTGTTTATTTTGATCAAACCATAATAATTCTCTTAGTGGAGTATCTATTAAAATGCTGGAAGCAAGATGCTTCCTGTCTTGGTTGGTTGCTGTTTTTTTTATCCCAGTTTTAGGTAATGGTCATATAATAGCAGAAGCAATAATAGATAAAATCCTTTTAGATTCATTTGTGATTTGTAAATTCAATTGTACTTCCACTGTTTTAGATATTAAAGTTTGCTGGTTCACTAAAGAGGTTGATCTATTTGTAAAAATTGATTTTGGATATTGACAATCTGTCACCTTAAGATTATTAACAAATAATACATCACACAATAAAAATCTGTGCACGTTAGACAAAAATCTAAATTTTTTCTCACATTGATATTTTCTAATTAAAAATATAAAAAAGATTGGAAATAGTACATACCATATACTAATTTTGTTAAAAAAAACACAGAAAATAGAAAATGCAATGTTATATCTAGTTAATTTAAAAGCCTTCATTTTTTCCATTTGTTGGGTTAAAATGCACACAACTCAAAATATTAGATGGGATTGATGCCTTTAACCAAGCTCTTCCCAAAAGTTCTGCAAGTTCAAAAATGGAAGCTGTTTTTCCTGGGTTGTTTACAAGCCAAGAATCTACTTCACAATTATATAAACATTTAAAAGGTCTATGAACACAAAAACTAACCCTGACTTCCTCAACTAGTTTGATGATTGATTATGATGACCATCCACCATTTTTTGCAGAGGATTTTTGTTATTTCATCTTTGATTCTGCAATAAAATAGTTTACGGTTTCATAGTAACTATGGTAACTAGGTAATTATAGTATAACATAAGAATAATAAATTTAATTTTATAGCGTCTTTATATAAGATTTGCAAATTTATGTTTTCTTTCTTTGTGAAACTATAGGAATATATTACCAAATCACAAGTTTTGCAATAAAACATTTTCATACAAATGATATTTCACAACTACAATTGCATAACAGTACAATCCATCAGTACATTCAAAATCATACATTCAAAACAGAGTTTTAGTTATACAAAATTTTTTTTTTTTTACTGAAATATTTGGTTTTTTTAGTAATAGTAAATCTCAGTACTTAGTTGTCTTCCTAAAACATAAATAAAAAGCATTTAAAGTTTCTAAGTTTTTTTGATTTGCATTATATTCTGAACTCAAATTTATGGAAATCTAATTTAAAAACATCTAAACGCAAATAAATGTATATTTAATCATAAAAAATCACTTTTAAAAAAAAAATCTGAAAAAAGTTCACACCTCTTGATGCAGTCCCAAAACTTTTTACTTTTTTAGAACTTTTTTACTTTTTTAAAACTTGAAAAAAAAAAAAAAATTTTGAACTCAGAGCAAGTGCTTTTGTCTTGAATAAATATTTTAGTTAATGACTTTTTGCCCTGGTTATTTCAGTACCTGGTTATGTATGTATGTATATTAAAAAGTAAATACTTACATATAAAAATATATTCAAACATTAAATTGTTGATCAGTTTTATAAAAATATTTTTTTGATTGAAAAAAAAGATTTTTTATGTTTTTGCTTAGGAAGTATCTTTCTTTGGTTCATCAATGTACCTACGAAAAAGTCTGCCTGAAGGAATTCCATGTTTTATTGACGGTCTTGCTCACCCTGCTTTAGTTCATAAAAATGGAATGATCATAACTGGTTCAGATGGATTAAGAGTAAATTATTGAGATTTTTCATATTATTTAAAAATATTTTGTATTCTTTCTATCTCTTTTTGTTATTCAAATATTATTATTATTAAAAATTATTCAATATTACCCATATTCCATATCAAATATCTCAGCATATTATTTTATCTTAACTCGAATTCTGAGAGTTGTGAGATAAAAAGAACTTAGATATCTTAAATTTAACAAATTTAAAGTTAAAAAGTTTAAGCAAGTTACAGCAGCAAATGGTGTAAGTAGTAAAACAATCAGAGCTGTTCCTACCATTAGACAAGACTAGACAGATGCTTAAGGTGGCAAGATTTTAAAATTATGGTAATATTACTTATTCTTAAGTTACCATAAGAGATCAAAATATATCTGAATCAAAGTCATTTGGGATCATAAAAACCAATTAAAATAAAGATAACTGTAAAACTGATAACAGTTGGTTTAATAGACCTAAAAACTGTACATTAAATAAAAAGTTAGTTTAATAAACTTTTTTTTACAATGAATTTTTTTATATAATACCACAGAAATGTTTAATCACAGATGAATACTTAAAAAATTTTAATAAAACTTAATAATTTATTTATTGTTTGTAATTTTTTTATTATTTTTTTGTATAAATAAAAATGAGTACAACAATATAAAACTATTTTTAAAATTTTTTATTTATTATATTATTGCAATCAAGTTAAATTTTAATTTGAAATCATTCATTTTAAAATTAACAAAAATTAGATTAAATTTAACTTAAATAGACTAAATAACTTAGATTTCCAAAGTTCATTATTATAAAACTGTTTATACTATTTTGTGTAAATTTTAATTAAAATTGTTAATTTCTATTTTGTGCAAAATATAATTATAATTGATAAGAGATTGAACTAACCAAAATCATTAAATCTATTGAAAAAATTTTGTCTTCAAAAGCATTCTTGCAAAACCTCTGATGTATCAACTTCAAGATTAGAAAAGGATAACAGTATAGGTCAGCCAAGCAATGACATCTTTAATTGCTAAGAGTAAAAGAAAACAACAGAAACTGCAAAAGATATCCTTAAAATCAAACATGGCACTCAAAGTAACTTACTTGAAATAACTGATGAAAATAAGAAAATTGATTTCTCAGATCCAGGCTTCTTGGGAAAATTTACCAATCAGTAGAGAAAAATTAAAAAGTTTTTAGTTGAAAATGGCCCTAAACAATTTTGCAAAGATTTTCCTCTAGATGTGGAAAAAGTTTCAGCAAACCATTATAAAAGAATACTTCCGAACAGTGAAAAATTTTGTTGGAAAAACCTCCTGTGATTTGGAAAAACAGTGAACTTTATCTACTGATAAAGTTCTCCGTTTTTGTTGCAATTTTTTTAGAAGAAAATTGAATTTAAGCGCAGCTCTTGTGCCGTTAACCTAGTGGTTAACAATGCTGCTTTGTGATGCATTCAACAACTGTATATATTGTTTACTGCATCTACAGATTGGTGGTAATGAAATGTCTTACACCATCTATGACTATTAAACCATTGAGTAATACTTGTTTATCATTTAACTCTAAAAAGTCCTTCTGGTACCATGACTAAGATTAGAGCTGACGATCTTCTAAAAAGTATATTTTCATTCAAGTTTGTTGTGGAAGTTATATTTTATGTCATGTTGTAACATGACATAAAAAATTGGACATTTTTAAAATGAAATTTATGCAACAACTCTCTGCTTCCAAATATCAGAAATAACAAATATACAAAAATATGTGAACTCTGAAAATTTGCTGAGCTATCTGAACAACTTAAAAAATGGGTTTCCTAATTTGTCTGTATCCTATTTACTTTACAAATATCAGTGGCAAATGCAGAGAGGAGTTTCTCAAAACTGAAACTAATAAAAACCTATCTACACAGTTCCATGAGTCAAGATTAACTTGTAGGATTAACCACAGTTTTGATAGAAAAAGAAATGGTTTACTAACTTAAAATTACAGATCTTATAGAGGAGATTTCAAAAATGAAGGCCAGAAAGGTACCATTAAATTAAAAGAAAGAACTGAAAAATCCCATAAAAGTAAAATAAACAAGGGGATATCCATATAGCACGTATTCAGTAAAACTACTAATTTAGGATCCATCTCTCCTTGTGCGCACTGATACTTTCAATGATTCTCTGCTCCCACTGTATTTATTATAAAATCACCCTTGTACTTTGTCTTCCTAAACGCACAGGTTTTTTAAAACATTAAAAACAAAAAAATCTTCAGTTATTATAACATTTCTAGCAACTATAATAACTATATATTAATAAGAGTAAAAAAAAAAAATATAGCCAACTATATTTAAATTATAATAGATACTAATATTTGTATTTTTTTTTAACTATATTTAAATTATAATAGATAACAACTAGGAAGTGATTGTGGTCACAGCTAGGAAGTGACACTGTGTGGCACTTCCTAGCTGCATACTCTTATTATTATATAGTTATTAATATTATTTTTTACAACTCCGGCCCTGACTTTAAAATAGTTCTAGCAGGGGTTATTAGCCGTGCTAAGATATTATATTATATATATATATAATATATATATATATATATATATATATATATATATATATATATATATATATATATATATATATATATATATATATACATATACATATATATACATATATACATGTATGTACATATATACATATATATAAATATAAATATAATATATATATATATATATATATATATATATATATATATATATATATATATATATATATATATATATGTATATATATATATATGTATATATATGTATTTGTGCTTTGTATTGTTCTTGGAAAAATTAGTAGTAGCTTGTAATTTCTAACATTAGTTAATCATTAATTGTCTTACATTAATTAATTTTTTTTAGCTTTTTGTGTTTGAAAATTTTTTTCTCATTTCTCATTATTTAAGATTTTATAGGCCTCTTAGTTTACAATGCAACCTAAAAATATTTGAAAATGCATATTAGAATTTTATATTAAAAAAAAAAATTCAAAATAAGTTTTGTGATTTATTTTATTACTATATATTTTATTGCTGAAATGTTATCTTTATAAAATAAATAATCATCTTTTCAAAGGCAAATAAATAAAAAAATTATCCTTTCAAAGCCACTGTTACAACTTGCCCTTGCCAAGCTTACTTATTTATACTTATACTTAAAAATTATTTACATTAAAAGCGATTGCATTAAGACTTAATACAAATTTTAGGTTATTGGATGGGAATTTCTTTAAAAAATGCTGATTATTGCTCAAAAAATGTATTTACAGAACAATGTATTTTTGAGTTTATCAAAAGAATTAAAAAAAAACACAAAAGGTTTAATTCAATCAAAATTTTCATAATTTACATGATAGCTATATTATTTCTCTAATGTTTGATGTTTATCAACTTAAACAAGCTAGATCATGTACTAGGAGACAATTTGATGGAAACAGAAACTTCTTATTCGAACTTTATCAAGATACAATAGAAATGCTTTATTTTAATACCTTTGTTTTTTATTTATAAACAATAAAACTTTATATTCATATCCAACTGTAATCAATTGCAATTGTTGGATTGTTGGGTACAGCAGCCTCAAACTTAAAAAAGTCTAATTACAAGTTGGTATTGCACATGCAAAGCTAGAGCACATATTTTAAACATATGTGCGCACACAGCAAGCATCATATGCAGAGCTGTCAAGTTTTAGAAGTAGATATGAGGGAGACTTTATGATATTGAACCACCAGGATGTATTTAATTTTATATAAAAAAAAAAAGATCCTCAAAATTTGACTGACTAAATATATTTAAATATTATCTTAGGTTTCAATCATCATAAAAATGCGTTTTTGGAGTAAGAAGTACACCTAGGGTGTCTGATATATATATATATATTAATCCTATTTTTGTTTCTATTGACACATTCTCATGGCAAATAGGAATATTACTAGAATACAAATCAGACAAAAAAAACCATTTAAAATTCGAGAAACTCTCACCAAATGGGGAAGACTTGATAGGTCTGCATCTGGTACCTTGGCATAGCCAGACATGATCCAAATTTAGTTAAATATATATATATATATATATATATATATATATATATATATATATATATATATATATATATATATATATATATATATATGTATATGCATGGCAGTATTTAATAAATAGAAAATTAGAATTTAATTTAACTGCTTTGATTTTCTAGATTAATGTGAAAACACTGCAACTTAGTGATGGAAAAATGGTACCAGCTAGTAAATTTGGTAAAGAGAATGAAGACAAAAATGAGATTATTTTTACAGATGAAGATTTAAAAATTAAAGAAACTTTAAAGGTTTAAATTTAGTTAATATTATTAATGTGAAAGTTTGTTTTGAAAATTTAATTCGTTTATTAGTTGTGTTACTTATTTTAAAAATATAGTTCGGTTATTAATAATAGTTGTTAATGTTAATATTATTATAATGGCAGGTGAAAAGAGTTATTTAAAAATAATCAATGTTTGAAATTAATAGGAGCTTTTCCAAAATAATAAAATGCAAAGCAAAAGTATTTATTTACTTATATAAGTATATTTATTCACAAAAAGCCAGACATTGAAATTCAAATTCAGATTTCTCAAAACAATGATTAGTGGACGTATTCCCTTTGTGCTCTTAACCATCAATATATATATATATATATATATATATATATATATATATATATATATATATATATATATATATATATATATATATATATATATATATATATATATATATATGTATATAATATATATATATATATATATATATATATATATATATATATATATATATATATATATATATATATATATATATATATATATATATATATATATATATATATATGACTTGAAGTTAGCTGTGGCACTTAAAATAGAAATACAAAATCAAACATTGTTGTTTACTTTTGAAAAATTTCAAAAAACATTTGTTGAAATTTGTTGAAACAAACAAAAAAAAAGCATATCTGAAGTTTAAATAAACTTTTTAAAAGTAAAATTAACTTTATAAAACCTACTTTATAATCCATTAAGTTATCATCACCAGACAATAACACTGCGCTAAATAGTTAGATTCATATAAAACATAATCGAATATCTAACATAAACTTATACAAAACCAAAAAAAAATAAAAACTACTTCCTTATATTTAGAACCATATTCCCTTTATAAGGTCATCATCAGTTTCTTTTAACTTAAACAGTGTTATGGTTTCAATACATCATCTACAAAATAAAATATATTTTGTTACTTAACACCTTGAAAACTTTAAGTAATTCTAAGAACAGATTAATAAAATTACAAAAGATGCATACTATTTATAAATATTTTATCATTTTGTTTATTATAATGGTAAAAGATAGATTTAGGAAGATTTATGCATATATTGAAGATTTTCAAAAGTTTAATATAAAATACAGATTTGAAAACTTAACTGTGTGCACATCAACAATGTCATGTAAATTTTTAGGACAAAAAATTTTATGTTATTATTTTATTATTATTATACTATTTAGTTAATTTTCTATTGTATTCTATTCTTTGCATTCAGTTTGAAACATTTTAGGCATGAGAGTGGCAAAATAGCTGTAAACCCCCTGTTTGTTTATTAACTTGATATTGAGTGATTTCAAAAAATTTTTATTTAATACAAATCAATATTGATAAATAAATTTTACTTTGAATATAAAATTGTGATTTCAATTATGTTTTAATTAAAATGTAATATACTTAATACTCTTTATTAGAACTCAAATCAATTGTAAAAAACTTGAAAAGTAAATAAGAAAGTGAAACTTAAAATAAACTTTAACATTTACATAATTTAAAAAAAATTAAAAAAAAGTAATAAAAAAGTGCTGAGAGACTCTCTCTCTCACCATGAACTTGGTTTTAATCACTGCCTTGATTAAGACTCTCTCACCATGAACTTGGTTTTAATCACTGCCTGATTAGATAGATAGGTTGATAGATTAGTTAAATTTATTAACTAAAATATTAAGTAATATTTTAGTTCTTTAAAGAAATATTTTATTTATAAAATTTATATCCAGTATTAGTATTGTGGAAAAAAATTTTATAGAAAATTTGGAGTGGAATTCTGAACATTCCTAATATTGATGATTGCACAAATTTTTTCAAAGCAGGTGCTGCATCAATGGATGTAACAAGGTTGTATTTTTATATAGAAGATTTTTAAACATTTATTTCTTATTTTGTTTTATGATTTATAATTGGTCTCTTATTTTGTGATGATTTATAATTGGCCTCATATTTTATAATGATTTATAATTGGTTTCTAAATTTCATTCTTTAAATTCATAGTTAAACATGTTTTCTAAAATTTAATATATTCTATTATATAAAATGCAATGAATTGAAATTTATAAGTGCAGTATTTGTTTTAATGCTAGACTTGTAGAAGAAATCAAACAGAGATGCGATATTTTTTTAACTAATGAAGATATTTACATGCATTCAACGTAAGTTATTTAATTTCTCATATTATTACTGTTCAGTGAGTTTTCTTTTTTTTTAACTAAAATTTTAAATTTTGATGTTAAAATAAGAATATTTTTACCTGCTATTTATTTTAAATTTTTGAAGTTTTACCTGCAACTTGCCTCTGTTAATATTTAAATTTGCAGCTTTTTCCTTTCAGAAAGCCATGCTAATACCTGGTTTAATAGCTTTTGATAATAGCTTGTTCAATATAAAGAGCTTTATTATACTATTATTATTATTATTATTATTATTATTATTATTATTATTATTATTACTATTATTATTATTATTATTATTACTAGCAGTAAGCAACCTGTAATACGGGTTGTTAGTAAATAAAATTAAAAAAAAAAAAAAACCGCATATAGAAAAGTCTAGAAACTACTTTAAAATAGAAAAGACTAAAAAATGACTTAAGTCGACAATTACTACCATTAAATTATTAAGTTATAAATATCTATTTTTTATATAATTGTCATAATTATTATTAAAAATGTTTGTATTTTTTATCGGATATTAGACTTGTTTTGTTCTCTGGTTAGAAAGTTTTGTTGTCTTGTGCCATGATTGTGTTTTTTTTTCGGGTTAAACTAGTTTATTTTATAAGTCCATTTTTAATTTTGAATTGTTGTATTTGGTCTCCTCTTAATCATCTTTTTTCCAATGTTGTCAGACCAAGACAGCGGATCCTTTCCTTGTTTTTTTACCACTAATTCCTCGGGCTAGTTTAGTTGCCCTTCTTTGGACTGATACAATTGCTTTGATATCTGTTAATTTATTCAGATTCCATACTGAAGCACCATACTCCAGATGTAGCCTCACTATTGGCGTGAAGAGCATATTAAAAGTGGTAATGTATTTGAATGAATTTTTAACCAATATACCATTTGACGTTGCTATTACGGAATGGATTTGCTGGTCCCATTTTAAGTCAGGGCTGATGATCACTCTTAGGTCTATTTCAAACTCTACCTTTAATAATTGATGCTCATTTACCTGATAATTATTTTTTGATTTGATTTCCCAATATGAATTACTTGACATTTGCTCTCATTTAAAGATATTTACCATGTTTTGCACCATTTTGATATAATGTTAATATCATTTTGTAAACTGATTGAATCGTTTTTATCTTTTATGATTCCAATCATTTTTGTGTCATCTGTAAAAAGTTTAGGATTATTTTTGATTTGTGATGCCAGGTCATTCATGAATATTACAAACAGTAATGGCTCTAGAACTGAGCCTTGAGGAACTTATTATTAATGATTCTTTCTAATATTTTACATGGGACCGAAGTTAGAGATACAGTTTGTTGATTTCAATTGATTTTGGTATTTCAAGAGCATTTAATCATCTATCAGTTTTTGATATATATTCTTCTAATAATGTGTACAGTTGATAATTAACATCTTTTACATAAATACAATGGAAATGCTTTTTAAATTCTTCTGCAATAGACATTTGATTGATTGAGACAATAAATGGTAACAATTTGATTGGTGACAGTTCTCGATTTCACTAATTTGGGTTTTTATAGATTTTTTCTCGTTTATATAAAGCAACTTCAGATTTAATTTACAATTATTACCAGTATCCCTTTTCAAATGACCTAATGTTTTTTTTTATTTCTTTTTTTGATTTCTTTTTTCAAAATCTTTAATTGATTATAATGCATTAATTAATTTGTGTTCCTAATTAGTAAATTTGTTAGAAAACTATAATTTATTTTTAGTTTTTATTTAATGTTTCAATTCAGGGTAATCCGTTTGTTTTTGTTTCTTTTTCTTTATTATTGCCAGCAAACATTGTTTTAGTGGATTTGCAGTGGACCTATGCAGGCATTTTTTAGCGGTTCATTGGAGTTTTGCTCATCGGCTACTTAGTGGATCATTAGTGGCAGCCGCTATAAATAGCAAGCCAATAACTTTCCAACATGTTTATAGTGAATAGTCATCAGGTAGCCACTTTTAGCAGCTGCCACTAGTAGTCCACTAAATAAACAATGAGCAAAACTACAGTGGTCCGCTCAAAATGCCTATGTAAGTCTACCAAAATTCCGCTATAGAATGTTTGCTGGATGATTATTGGGATAAATTTGTTCAGTTGCATAATTGTAATTTACAAAAATAAATCATACATTTCGTTAATTGGTTTGTTTTTTAATATAAGTTTAATATATTAAAATTATTACAGTCAAAAAGTTTAGTCTAAAAGTTGTACCTTTTTTTAATTACACATTTATTTTGTGTACACACTTTATAAAATATATATTTTATATGCATATGATATATATGTGTAATACTTTCAAGTATATATACACATATTAAAACACACAAATTAATACGATTTTTTAATTAAAAGTTTTTTTTATAAAATAAATTTTTAAAAATTTTATATACTTTGCTTCTTTTAATTCAACATGATATACTTTTGAAGAACTATTTTTTTGATAATTATAGGGACCTGTCTGATGTTCAAGGGTCCCCTAAAAATATTTTTTATTCAAAATATTTTTAAATCTAGTGATATTTTATCATATAGAACACATTAAGGGGGTGGCAGCATAAATTTTCAAAAATGTTGTTATTTGAAACACTCTTTATATATATATATATATATATATATATATATATATATATATATATATATATATATATATATGTATATATATTATATATATATATATATATATATATATATATATATATATATGTATGTATATATATGTATATATATATGTATATATATATATATATATATATATATATATATATATATATATATATATATATATATATATATATATATATATATACACCCACAAAATAAATTACGATTCAAAAAACTTGAATCATTTTTTTCAAACCGAATTATGAATCAAATCGATACTTGATTTGCGAATTGAATCGAATTGATTTGCAGGGCTCTAATATATATAAATATATATGTAAATATACATTAGTAATCTAAAGTTATCATTAATTTTTCATAGATTCAATAATCATTTTAATTGGTCAATCTTGAGTTCTCGCGGACTTACAAAAGAAGCTTTTTATTGCAATTATGTAGGAAACATTTTTTGAACAAATATAAAATAATTTATTTTTTAAATACTTTAATTTTAGTCATTTTGAATTATATTCAGAGTAATAATACTCAATAAATTTGTTTTTTAGACTGATGTAACAATTAAAGGAAAATCACTAAAAATGCCTAATCAGCTTTTTATAAATGGAGAGTTTGTTGAAGCAGAGAGTGGGAAAACATTTGAAACATTAAATCCTTCTGATGAAACAGTGAGTAATAACATTCACTAGGAAAAATTGTATTATAAAAATGTTAATAAAATTGAAGTAAAAAAAAGTTAATAATAAAACTCACTAAGAAAAACTATTAACAAAATAACAAACTATTAACTAATAACAAAGTTCAACTAATCTAAGATCATCCAACTATTATCTAATCTAAGATCATCCAACTTATCCAACTATTATCATTTAACTGAATATAGTTATAACTATATATATTATATGGATGTAATGTAACTAACCTTGTAAATAAATGCCAGCAAAATCTCGTGTTTAAATTAAATAGAAAAATAGCATTCTTCATTAATAATACACGCACTTGCATCAAGATATCACCAATCTTTTATCACATCAAGATATCACCAATCTTTTAAATAGTAAAACAATGCTGTTAAAAACTAATTTAGAAAAGTTAAAAAACAAAAGTAATTTTAGGAATTAGAGTTTAACTTAAAAAAGTATTAAGAAATTTTAATTTTTAATATAATAATTTTATTTTAATTTATATTAAAATAAAATTATTATATAAAAGATTAAAATTTCTTAATACTTTTTTAAGTTAAACTCTAATTCCTGAAATTACTTTTGTTTTGTATCTTTTTAACACTATTTATTTTTTTAATTTCAAAACAAGCAGATTTGGCATTAAATTGTAGATTAAACTGTAAAATAACAGCTTAACAGTAAAATAACTTTTTTGATATTTTTAGTTTCTTACCTCTTCTGTTAAAAGAAAAGTTTGATAGGCAAATTAAGTTATAGCACTGCCTGCAGCCCTATGTTTGGTTGTATAACAGTGTGAAAATAAAGTTTATCTTAATAGGTACTTGCAGAGGTGTCTCTTGGTGATAAAGAAGATGTTGACAAAGCTGTTGCTGCTGCTAAGGTGATAATAAGTTTATGTTTACTTGCATAAATATTCATATTAGAAATTTTAAGATTATAAAAAAATTTGATTTTCTTTTCAGGAAGCTTTTGAAAAAGGGCCATGGAGTACAATAAATGCACGTGACAGAGGAACTCTTATGCATAAGTATATATATATATATATATATATATATATATATATATATATATATATATATATATATATATATATATATATATATATATGTATATATATATATATACATATATATATATATATATATATATATATATATATATATATATATATATATATATATATATATATATATATATATATATATATATATATATATATACTTACAATAAGATTTATAATTTATAATATATTACGGGTAGGACTTCAAGAAGATTGTAACGACCTTATCACAAAAACCTTTACAATATAAAATTTTATTTTCTTCTACAATAAGAACATATATCTTATAAAGCAAATATTTAAATGAAATATATAACCTTTAATCATATAATAATTTAAAAATTTTTTTTATTATATTAAGTATTTTTTATCTAAAAAAAAATGTCAACCTGGTACTAAAGAAGCGAAGCGTCATAAAAAATTCTAAAAATAAAAATCATATTTTATGAAAACATGTTATTAAAAAATTTATCTAAAAAACTAAACTAAAATTAAAAATGATAAAAAAGCAGCAGCTTCTATGCAATAAAATTTAAGATAATTTTGTTTGTATAAATGAAAATTATTTTTGAAATTTTTATAAAGTTGTTGTTGCTGCATAATATCAGATTGCTTTAACTTGTTATAGATTAGCAGATGTAATGGATTGTTTTAACTTTTTATAGATTAGCAGATGTAATGGATTGTTTTAACTTTTTATAGATTAGCAGATGTAATGGATGAGCATCGTGAAGAGTTAGCTATGATTGAGTCTTTGGATTCAGGAGCTGTATACACATTAGCTTTAAAAACACATATTGGTATGTCAATTGATACATTTCGTTATTTTGCTGGATGGGCTGACAAAATTCAGGTAAGTGTTTTTTTTGTATATAATTCCTTTAATTTAATAAATGTTTTATATAAATGGATATTATATATAAGGTTTTTGATAAACTTAATTAAATTACATTTAGGGAGAAACAATACCCATTAATCATGCACGACCAAGTAAAAACTTGTGCTTTACAAAGAAAGAACCTCTAGGGTAAAAGATTTAAATTATAGCATTATAAAAACATAAATATTGACAATAATAATAAATAACAAATTATAAAACAATAATAAAAGAATATATAGTAAATTTAATTAAAGATAAATTTATTATTACTTTTTGAAATAATTAAAAATAAGACAAGAAGAATTTAAAAGTTTTAATGTTGTTTAAATCAAAATTGATCAATAAAAATGTTGATTAAGACATTATTTAAATGTCTTTTTTTTTTTTAAAGCAAACTTCTAGCCTGTTATGTTCTGTAAAACTTTCAGCCTGTTATGTTTTTCTGTAAAACTTTCAGCCTGTTATGTTTTTGAAATATATTTGATATTATGTTTGTTTTTTCTTTTCTTAGTTAATCTTTTTTTTCTCTTTTTATTTAAAAATTATTTATTAATAAGTTAGCATATCTATATATATATATATATATATATATATATATATATATATATATATATATATATATATATATATATATATATATATATATATATATATATATATATTATATATATATATATATATATATATATATATATATATATATAACTTAACTTTTAAAGTTTCACATTGTCATGTAGTGTACTTTTATAGCTTCTTAAATGCTTAAAAAACATTTACTTGTGTTTTTTTCTCTCATTCATATGCTTTAGAATTATACAATTTTGCCGTTTTTTATATAATTGGAAGCTTTGTAAGTCTTCTACTTTCTTGCTTTTAATGTCTTCTTTATATTTCACATGGTGATGAATGCCATTCTTTGATAGACTGAAAAGAGATGATGATTGTATATGTTGCATAACTCTAGAAGATAAAAAAAAATGATGATCTTAGACGTTGGAAATATTGAGTATTTTAGCATAAGATATATATTATTGGGTATCTAGAGAGATTTCAAGGAAAAAAGGTAGAGGTAGAAGTAAGAAAACTTAGAGAGAGGGTATTACAGATGACATTAAAAAGATTCCATTAAGAAATGCCTATACTGAGTATATTACATTAGTATATAAGCTAAAAACAGCTTTATGAGCAATGTTCAACCAGCTGCGCAAACAAGAGCTCTAAAATAAAAATGAAATATGTTTATAGTTGCTAAAAATAAATTAATATTGCTTGCAAACATGAAGGTTTTTAGGTTCAAAGTTTTACTTAGATCGTTAATACATAACAAAAAAAGAGGTAATCATATGACACCACCGACTATCATATCATATATTTATTGCCTATAATTAATACTCAAGTTAGGGTCAGACAAAATTTGGGGCATTATGCATTCATAAAAGATTTAATGTAATAAAAACGTATGTGCCAAAATAATAAATTTGAATTGTTTCATTTTGAAAGCCAATTATGAAAATAGTTCCAGGTCTTCCAATAGTTGCACATTTCTAAAGGCCATAGAAAATGCAAACAAAAGACTTTATTTACTGTAATTTTCCTTACTTTGTGACTGCTAATTTCAACAAACTTGTGTTCATTTAATAAAGTTGTTTGTTTAATTACACGGGTCTACAAAAAAAAACTTTTTTCCTGTTGCATGAGATATTTAAACTGATTTTTATTTATTTTCAAATGCTGAATCAAAATATAAGGTCCATTTTTGTTGGCAAACTCTAGTTTTTCTGCAATAACCAATTTATAAATTTTTTAAAAATTATGATTTTAGTTATTTGTCATACATATTTTTATTCAATAATTAAAAAAAAAAGTAACCATGTTTTTATTAGATTAAATGTATAATTCGTATATAAATCGTATTTCGATATTAAACTAGGCGACCAATATTTGTAAAGAAAGTCTTCAAGATTGGACATGAGGAAAAAGAAAGAATTTACCTTTTGGAGTCCCCATGGTTTAGAGGGAACCACTAAATCACTTTGACGACTGCTATTTTTGTCTTGTTGATACTACAGGTATTAGCAAAATAAAAAGGCAAAAAATGACTTATTCCAACATTCCTTCTGCTATTAGACCAATTCAACATTCTAACTAGATTCTTTTTCCAATTTTTAAAGGTTTATTTTCCTCAGAAGATGAACAAAGCGTGTCTGCTACAGAAGTAGAAAATTTTTTTACAAGATTTGGAAGACTTCTCATCTAATGCTAAACAATTTAATTTGCCTCAGTATTTTAGTCAGATAGAACTGAATGACTTAGTTCGTGATTTAGGTAGTATTACTGTCACATTTAAAGGAAAAAAACCTACTCAATAGCTTTGCAAAAGTTTCTTACTTTAAAACAAGAGATGAAACCTTTGATTTCTTTAAAACAAGAGATGAAACTTTTTTTCAGAATTCAATTTATTTGATTACTGTCATGATATTTCAGGTCTCCTATTACAGTTGGGTATTTCTGTATATAATCCAACAGAATGAAGACTTTTTATCCATTGCTCAAAGCAAAGCCTTAAATGCGTCATATTGCACAATGGAGATATTTTTGGTTCTGTACCAATTGGTCATTCTGTTTATTTGCGAGAAACTTACAATGACATTAAAATGGTGCTCAACTTGATTAAATATCACGAATACAACTTGATTATTTGTGTATATCTAAAAATGGTTAACTTTCTACTTTGTCAGCAGAGAGGTTTTACAAAGTTTCCATGTTATCTCTCTGTGTGTGGGACAGTCGAGAAATCAACACTGGATACAAAAAGAATGGCCCATTTGCAAGACTCTCACAGTGGGCATGCACAATATTGTAAATGAACCAATTGTTAGTCGAAATAAAATTGTTTTTTCAGCACTCCATCTTAATCTTGGATTCATGAAACAATTTATTTCATGAATCCAAGATTAAGATGGAGTGACACATGATGGCAGACTACTGTTATGGGCATCAAGCAAGAAGACTCAAGAAAAGTTAATAAACGAAAGAGCAACAAGCAAAAGTTTCTTCCTGATTAAACAGTTTTAACTAAACAATATAATCTGTAATCTTTTGTAAACTAAAGTAAAACATGATTTTTTTTTTTATTTGTATTTTTGTATGTATGTTTTGCAAAATAAAAAAACATTTATTGCAAAATATCTGTAGCTTTCCATAAAAATCTGATGCCAGATTTGAATTCAGCATATCAAAAATATGTAAGAACAAGTGTCAAATTTAATGCAATAAATTATTTGTAGACCTGTGTTATTTTTATTTCATTGTTAAGTTGTTTTACAAAAACAAATTATTAAAGCGTTTTACAAAATATTTTACAATAATGTAATACTATGCAATAATCATAAAAAACAAAAAGAAAATTTTTTTAGTTGTTTTACAATGAAAGTCTGTTTTTAAAAATTATTTAAAAAGTTTATCTTTTTAGTATATTTAAATCTGATAAGTTGATATGAAAAGTATTATGAATTCATTAAAAATATTTTTTTTTTGTAACCAAATTTTTTTCTAATTCACATAATTAAGAAAAGCATGTCAAAAACAAAGTATAAATGTATAGATATTATTTTTTATAAACTTGGTTTTATATTTTAATTCAACTTTTTAGAAAGAAATTCTTTCTTTAAAAAATCTTAATTTATGCAAACTCTTTCTTTTGTTCAAAAGTATTTTTTTTTTTAAAGAAATTTTTAATATGCAGTATGTTTTTTTTAATTTATTAGTTTACCTATATAAAATACCATTTAACCAAGTATTTACATATACACACACTTTTTTTTGTAACTAGTATATAACACTTTTGTAACTAGTATATAACAGAAACTGTGGTTTCTTTAATGTTGTCTACATAATATATGTAATACTCAACTTAAAAACACCAATAAAATGTTGCATTAACAACAGCAACTGTAATATTACAAGAGGTTACCTAAAACAGGTAAATTTCCAACGTTAATGTGTGATTTATTTTTTTATTTTTTTACATGTCATAATTACTTTTTTTAAGATTAATCGGTTGATGTATTTTTGCGATTATTGTTTATATTTCAAAAATTGGTTATTGTTACTTTTACAAAATTGTCAATTGTTAGTTTGTAAAAGTTGTAAAAGTTTTGCTGAAAAATATTTTATTATAATATTTATTTAAATTAATCAAGAGTGTTATAAATATATATAATAAACACACTTATTTTGCATTTTGTTATTATTTTGCATTTTATTATTATTTTGTTCCTCTTGTTTTAAAATCTCAGTTATTTTTAGTTAAAATAACATTTCTTGCCTACCCAATATACAGAGGCGAGTGTTAATTAGTGGAAGGGCTGAAAATTTTTAAAACCTGAAATTTCTTAAAACAACTTGAATTTTCTAAAAACAACTTAAAGTTTGGCACGCATTTATCATCTATGTGAAAGTTTCTTTTCTTATAAATGTGTTTACTCTTGTATGTTTAATACAAGGGGAGGGGGGTAAGGAATAAAAGGGGTGGTGGGAATTTTAGTCTAGATCTAATAGCACGTAGATAAGTCGGCACATTTAAGACTATAAAGAGTCAATTTTATTTTAGTAAGTTTATTTTTACTTAAGGTAAGAAAATTTTTGTTTTGAACTTTTTTTTTTTTAGCATTAATAAACAGTACAAGGATTCTAATAAGCTTCGTGTCGAATCACCCTTCTCCTCTCCTTTTATTATTGGAAGTTTACAATAAGATCTAAAAGTATCAATGTTAAATAGTATAATTGTTAAAATAATAATAATGTCATTGGATTTTTATCATTCCAACAGTCAATTAATTTCTATCATGTATTAAAAAATATATAAATAAATAGATTATATCAGTAATAAGTTTATATATTTTAAGTGTGTCAAAAGTCTTACAATGAACCATTTTACAGGTCCAGGCAGCTTTTATATTGGCATCACATATTCATATAATATATTATGATTATCATATATTCATATAATATATTATGTGGCAGGATAGCTCAAATGGTTAGAGCGTTAAAGGAAAAGTTAAAAGAGTTCAAATCCTGCCACCGCCAACTCAGCGCTTGAGTAGTACTTCGGTACGCAAAAATGTTGGTCAATAACGGGCGCTACT